GGAGAAATCACTGTTAAAAGGTCTCCAACCGATAGTTTCGTAATCGATGAAAAGCAAGTCACTCATTGAGCAGTACTGGTACACATTCACATCATATTCTCAAGGAAAGATACATAAATGAAAATAATCTGGTAATCATGGCAAATACTTATCTAAAACACATATAGATACGTCAGGATAACAAAAAATTGACAGTAAAAAAATGTTAGGAAAGAGATGCTGTGGATTATATTGTTTCATTTGTCAATTCCTATCTTGACTTGATATATAAATGTGTAAACACATCCACACACGCATATATATATGTGTGTGTGTTATGGAAACAAGTCGCCAATAAACTAGCTAAAATAGTATATAGTATACATAGGTCCGTATAAATCTCTAAGTGAAATCCAATATGGATCCCAGTGTGTTTATAACGTAAAACGACGAGATAATCAAGAAGACATTAGTCAGTCGTTAAAAACTGATAACATAAAACAATCTATGTACATAAATCAAATTACTAAATAGCAAACTACAAAAGTAATTTTGTAACTAACCCAGACTCTTACTCTCGGGATCTTTCATAACTTTGGAAAATAGGCGGGAGTTTCGCAATACGTACTTAACACTATAAGCTATGTATCTTTCTATATATAAAGTTACTCTGAACAAACGTTGATATTAAAATAAATTCGTCACATCATACCTTTAAAGTTTATGTATCTCACGTAACAATTGTAATATAGAATGTGAAATTTAGGTTTATAAAAGTTGTTTTAAAAACTGTTAATAGTTTAAATAGATTTACTGGCATTATGTATTAAACAGCTCTTTGAATTCTGCAATAATCACCTTTGTTTTTACAGTAGTTTAATAATGATTTCCATTTTTGTTTTAAATATTTGTCTTAACATTTAATGCTTGTAGATAATTAAAGTTTCTTTGTCTTTTCTTTACACTCTTGTTGTTTAGTGTGTGTTCTTACCTGATAAGATATGCTGGGTATCACGACATTTTACTAACGTTGTAAATGACTGCCGACAAATAATTGTTTTCTCAAAACATTTCCTACCTCAGTGAAGGTTTATTGCCGAAAATTACATTGAACTAATAAATTATCACAGTAAATTTGATTAAAGATAAGTTAAAATTGAATAATAAAGTAATTGAATAAGTTGCTGGAAAATCAGAATAATAAAGTGATTGAATAAAAATGCTATCAGTTTATAGCAAATACGTTCATTATTATTAATGTTTGCACGGGTATAAATTTTATGACGTAATTTTTGTGTTGAAGTTCTTTTGACATGATAACGGTTGCTTTTATAATATGCCGATAATTTAATTTCTATTCATGCAGGAAACGTTAAAATCAAATAATAAACTTCTGCATCTTTTTCCCGCCAATAAACAGACAGCAATAGAACGTCGTAGAGCCGATTTGCTGCAGTTCTTTTGTGCGCTTTGATACAACATGACTTTTGTGTACATTTCCAAACAGAAGTCAATGAGTATCGATTTATACGAAATTTATATTCACATTTTGCATTTAAAAACTTCAGTACTTTGGCAAGCTACTTACTGGTGTAATTGTTTCGTTCTAATTACAAATCGAAAATATGGAGAACAACTCAGCGAGTGAAAAAGGATCGACAGTCCGAAATACGCAATACTTCTGTCTTTTGTGCCCATATGAAACGTCACTGTCTGTCGATGCATGAGCAGAGTTCGAAGATTCTAGAATGTTGTGGAGAACACCTTTTATATAAAGCTGCTTTGCGTTCCCACACGAAAACCTTGCATAAAGAACGTTATAGTTGCAACCTGTGTACACGACGCTTTTGCCGAAGAGCTCTACTGAGACGACACATGAGTGTCCACAATGGTTTAAAGGAATTTTCATGTGAACTTTGTATTTATGCTACCAGTCCCAAAAGCAGCTTGGAGAGACATCAGTTTCGTATCCACGAAATTCCAGAGAAGAATCATCGAAAAAGGACTTCGGTGTCCAAACAATCGGGAACGTCTTCACCATCTTCTCTGGGTTTGCTTCCAGAGAAGAGGAAGATAAATCGTGTAAAGTATCCAATAATCAATCCATTGTATATACACCCGAATTACCAGAGTCTATTTCCGAAGAACCATCAATTACAATGGCAGAAGATATTAACGGAAGGGAAACTAAAGGAACAGACAGAATTTCTCTAACAAAGGAAAACATTCGATTGTGCTGCTTTCCTTACAAATGTTTTGAATGCAACAGCGTTTTTAAAAAAACAGTCAGACTACATATTTCACCATGACCAGATCCACTGACCACGAGACGTCCTTGTGATAACACTCATTCGTGCAGCTTTGAGACATCGTCAGCAGGTTCAAGATAAACCTCTGAACTTGGTTATTCATACTCAACGGGAACCTTTTTAATATATAAAAGCTCATACTGTTAATAAAATTTAATATGATTTGGTCTAAGTAATTATTTATTACTGCAATATATCTACCTTTCATTTTGAAGTTATTTATTTATTTGATTTAACTTGTAATTTAGATTTAGTAGTTTAATTGTACTTTGGATTATGTAGTTAATTAAAGGCAGATATATAGGGAGTTTATGATATTTGCCAAGAAGATTGATACACAGTTTTTTAACACAAATATGTTTTAATATACACACAACAATACAATTTACATTAACAGTTATTACAAATAGTAATTACAAACAATGATTTATAAACAAAAATTTCACAAATTTACAAGCGATATAAAGTTTTCTTTCTAGTCTAGAACTTATCGAGGGTTCACGATGAGCGAGTTGATTTCGAGTTAACGTTGGCACATTTCACTTAACAGGGAGCTGTAGTCTTCATTGTTCATACGCCTATTACAGATGGTGTTTCCACCGATGACGTTAGAAAATGTTTTTGTAGGCGTGTGGAGGATTTCTAGAAATTTCAATTTTACGTAACAATCTAAACTACATTCAAGCGTTTACATACATAGATATATTGTTGTTACGAAAACGGGAATATTTTACCTAAATAATCACAGAGAGTTAATATTATAAGACGTTTCTGCAACGGATTAATAAATATTAAATACGTAAATTGTCATAATTTACAAAGATGATGTGAACGTTTCTCTATTATTTTAACAGGAATTTAACTATCATTTTAGATATTTTTGAAAACTGACTTTTTTTTTTAATACAAATGCTCAAATTACTTAAGTTAAAATATTACGCAGACAAATTTCTAGATCGGTGTATATTTTAATGAAATCCACAACAGCTTAGGCATTTTGTAATCACGGACGACCGTAGTATATTACAGAGGTAGGCAAAATGAGAAAATTATATCAAAGCTATAATTAGAGAAAAGAAAAATTTATAATCCATCATGTCATTGGTAAATAACCTGTCTTTTCAGTGTTAGGTTTCAATATTTAACCTTATATGTTCTCTATAAGCTTAGAAAGGAACTTAATAAAAAATAAATGCTATCTAGGTCTTGAGTTAGACATTATTAAATGATAGAATGAAGGAAGGGGAAATATTTCGGCCAGTGAAGTGTGAGAAATACGTTTTAATAATTTATATTCTTGTTTACTCATTACAGCTTTATCTAGCATTTATAAATTTCCGAACATTATAAAAAATGTCTTATTGACTATGCTGCGTACTATTGCGTAGAAAACGTCCACAAGGGCTTTTGTCAACGAAATTTGTATTCATGAACTCTCACCAGTTACAATACACCTTACTTTGCATGTCATGGCTGGAATATACTAGTTGTGAGTGTCTTTATGAATGGTCCCAGGCACCCAAAGATGATCCCTATTAACTTGTTTTCCAATGCTCTTAAGGATGTGGTGTATTACTGGCTTAGATTTTTTAAATTGCTGATCTGGATACGTCTCAGTGTATGAATGACGTACGTCGGAATGTACCAATGTCTGTAATATGTGTTGTACTAGAATTAGCCGATCCAGTGTTTTGTATTCTACCTTTTAAAATTAACTGCCCTTGTTCTTAAAGTGGCATAAGCTATTCTTCTCACAAAGAGGGTTATAAATTCATCGAATGGCAAAGTTATGTTTCTGGATTGTTGAAGTTTGTGGAGCTTTTTCTCATCAATAGACGGGTGCTTTAATTGCTAACCCTGATCCATGGATAAAAAAATTCCTGGCTCTATTATTACAAACAAAAACATAGTGTAAGTGATAGTTACACAAGTTTGTAATTAATTTCATATCACAACTGTCAATAGACACAATATGAAAGCAAAATTATTATTCCCAGAAATGTTTTTAATCGTTGAAACGAAATATAATTACTACTAATAATATCTAATTTTTGTATAAAATAAAGTTCTCTAATGATAATGTAGAATTTAGAACAAATCTAAAATCTATTGTTTTCACAATGAGAGGTTATTTTTAACAAGTCCTTTTTCAAACTTAATTCGGAATCTAGATACATGATTACCATAGATTAGAAAAACAACAATACAATCAAATAAAAATGCAGATAGAATTCATTTATTTACATTTCCATTGCGGTTTTAATTTGGTGCGAAAATCTAAATAGCTACTTCATGTAAGTATATGTAAATCTATATAACAATAAGATCATATGGGATAAATATAGATTAAATTATTATACGTTTCAATCATTTTACAAAATCCAAATGAAACAACTAAACGACTAT